AAAGAATTAAGGGTAAACAAAGTTGATGTACCTTTAGAATGCTTCTACAGGCATAGCAATGATTTACAATTATAATTCTGAATAATTAATACTGGACTCTACTCATGATTACATATTATTGAATGTCACTGCTGTATATCAGCCCCATGAAACTTACCTGTTGTCACACCATGAACTACTCCTTCCTTCGTTTTGGAGCCTAAAAGAATAAAGAAAGTTTAATTCAAAATATAAGTAACAGACTAGCTTTATATTGATTAACTTGCTTTAAATACAACTAATCTAAAAATGCAAATTGTCAGAAGTTCATATATGATTATATTCTCAGGGAACGTCAAAACTTAAAGCAAGATAATTCAGTCATCACTGTTTGAAAAACGACAAAGCAGAAAGCGAAGCAAAGACAAGGTTCTCTCCAATTCAGACTGTAGCAATCAATGATGGCTCTTTCCATCCCCTTGTTGCTCATTGTTCCGATCAAACTACAAAGGGGTAAAAAATTTAAAAAGTGTGATAACACTGACACTGGTTGGGAAGAGGATTTAGGATTCAGAACTATAGGAGATTTACTGAAGTGTAACAGGAGAATTAATTAATACAAGGTATTTAAAATTAGAGAGGGTGGGAAAAGGAAGCATTAACATTTTTTAGAAACTATTTGATCACCTTCAATCTTCATAGCAACAATTTGACATAGGTGCATTATACCACTTCTAAAAATGAAAATTTTAATTTACTAATTTATCTAAATGGACGCAGGCTATAGACACATAGAAAGTGGCACTTGTTCCATCTTGAGCCCCTACTCTTTCCAGGGAACTATACATATGTGTCAAAATAAGGAACTATTTTATCATTAATGTATTCCAGTTCTACCTCCCAAGAAGAGGCAAAATAGGAATTTTCTTAAATCTTGACTATTAACAAACTTAAAAAAATAATAATTTATTAATATGTTATTCAGTATGTTTGTTAAACATTTTAATTCATAACCCTTCCAATGTTCATTCTCTCAGTGTATTGCAGGCTATTTCTAAAATTTTAATGTTTTTGGAGAAAATGACAATAGTGGATTTGAGTTTCATTTGAAAACTACTCTCTAGCTCAAATAAGTTTAATTAAGACAGAACCATATAAGGAAAGAGAGAATTTGATAATGAGATTATTATTCAATCTTCCAGTTCAGTTCAAAAATGTACTGCTTTAAACACTCTTACGATATGAATGCCACAGCACAATTTGTTGAAAACATCAGATGGTTTTCAGCTACCAGAAAGAAAGTGTCCGTGGTCCTTAAGGCTTGTCTTTTAACAAGGAGTCAGCCTAGTGAGGTGTCAGCTATGTTTATGTGGAAGAAGCACACCAGTCTGTGAGATCCAAGGATTATAGTCAACTCCAAGATTTGAGGATATAATTGCATCAGGGCTTAAAGTATGAGAATCCAGTTTGCAAAAGGCGATAGATGACAGCACAAGCCCCAAATCCATTTGCAGAGTACCAACGCTGATTAAGCCTCCGCGATTCCCTCAGGCCATTGAGCCCGATTGTGAATACACACCTCAGGCAGAGGGTGTTGGAAAGTGGATTACTGCAGGTGTACCTAGGTTTCCCTTTTAAACCATTTATAATTTGCTCTGGCTTCCATTATCTTCTGCTTTTACTTAAATTGAAGATTTTTTGAAATTTATTTCGTCATTGTTAAGTATTTTTGTATCATTTTTTTAATATAAAATCCAGGATAGGTAAATCTATAGAAACAGTGACTCAAAGAACATTTCCTTAAGATTATAGCAGGGGAAGTTACGGGGTTAATGGTAAGTTAATAACAATAAGTACACAAATGAAAAAAATTTTTTTAATTGATTGTGGTGATGATTGCAAAAACTCTTTTAAATATATTTAAACCATTGACTGCATGGAACATGAATTATATGTCAATAAAACTGTTAAAAATATTAATTATAACACTAAACCTACAAGAAAGAAATAAAACACATTTAAAAAGTAATAAAATATATAGGGGGGCCCTAAACTTTCTGAACAGTAAAGTTAATCCATCATATTAATTAATCACTAAGAAACTGATTCTTAAAATATAGAGTAGAAAAGAATTGGTTGGGTAGGAGAGATAACTAAAAAATGTTGGTTAGTGAACCACGGTCCCTAATATAAAGTAAATACAAAGTTTATATATTTACATTTTAAGAAAAGTTTACTGTTTAAATTAATGCCATTCCTGATATAAATTTCAAGAAAAACAGTCTGAGTTTCTAGTTCCATTGTTTTTTACTTAAAAATATCTTTCAATGCTCTAAATAATAAGATAATGGAAACAAATATGAAGGATTATATTAAAGTTATTGGTGAATATTTTTATTGGAAAGAACATTAAGGAAGATTTATATGTATAATATTTACACTTAATTTTTATGACTGCCAATGCAATCATCTACATTTAACAGAATAGTTTAATATATTTAAGAAATCCCCACTGGAAAATATGAAGTTAAAGGATAGTCCAAATAGTCAGCACTCTACTGTCCACTAAAAAGTTGGCGGTTTGAGTCCAACAAGAGCTACTTGTTGAACTACGTTTGAAAAACCCAACCGCTGACATTCCTGTGCATTGAAGTTCTACTCTAATACACGGGTTGCCATGAATCAAAATAGACTCGAAGTAACTGTTTCTATCCTTTGGTTGTTGCGGTTAGTTGCTACCGAGTCTGTTCCGACCCATAGTGACCATATGCACCACAGAAAGAAACACTGCCTGGTCCTGCACCATCTGACAAGTGCTCCTGTGTGTAAGCTCATTCTTGTCTTAGGGGTCTCAAATTAAAAACAAACTAAACCATAGCTTTATAGCTAAGGATGTGGGCTGAGATTGACATTGTCCAGGTGTAAGCCTTCATTTCATCATGTAACAGTCAAATATACATCACAGAATCAATCCAGAATGTAAATGAAGTAATACATATAAAAGTCTTAGAACAGTAAATACTCACCTAAGTATTATTATTCACACATAATATTAATATGGGAATTTTCCGTTTAAAATACTCATTTATTCCATATGCATATTCAAATGCATAACCATACCCATAACTATACCTCTTTCTCTATTTGTGCTTTTGTTGTTGTTGTTGCTAGATTCCATCAATTTGGTTCCATCCAACTCAGAATTGCCTGGTGTATTACAGCATGGGTATGCGTCCCTTCCATTTGGTCGGCCAGGTGTCTTCCAAGTTTCTTAGCAGAGACAAATGAGTTCTTCTAGCATGGGACCCTTTATTGAAACATCCTAACTGGTTTCTCATCAGTTCCTGGAGTCTTGTTTATCACTAAGGCCTTCAATGAAACTTGAAACTTGGACTTCTTCCTTCAGTATGATCAGCTTTTACTCGTGCACTATCTCCTGAACTCATTTAAAATTAGCCAACTCTTTTTGATGCAGTGACTGGTTGTTCCTCCCATCTGCTTCTGTTATCACTTAGTTTTCCACCAATACAATCACTCAATAGTATAACTCAAGCCTTCAATGTTTTCTTTATTTCTCAGCTTAAAAAAGGCACGCATAGTCTTCCTTTTGATGTTCTAACAGAGTGGCTCTCAACCTTCCAAATGCCGCGACCCTTTGATACACTTCCCCAACCATAAAATTATTTTCGTTGCTACCTCATAACTGTAATTTTGCTACTGTTATGAATTGTAATGTAAATATCTGATATTCAGGATGTAATAGGTGACTCCTGTGAAAGGGTCATTCCACCCCCAAAGGGGTGCAACCCCCAGGTTGAGAACTGCTGTATAATCTAACCGCTGTATAATAAACTAATCTCTTTGCACATTTCATTATAATACTTTAGATTTATTTCTCAAGACAACCTTTTAAATCTTCAGTTCGGCTTTTTTACACCATTTCTTCCTTTCTCTTTAGCTATTCTATGGTCAAGAGCCAATTTCAGAATATCTTCTGACATCCATTCTAGTCTTTACTGTATTTATTTCCTTTTCAATGAACTTTTGTTATCTTCATGTATGATATCCTTAATGTCATCCCACAACTCATCTGGTCTTCAGCAATTAATGTTCTATTTCAATCTTCATATCAAATATGCTCTTGAGACCATGTTTACTTACATTCAGGAGGGATATATTCAAGATCAAGAACTTATTTACTTCTCTTCGGTTTCAACTTGAACTTGAGTAGGAGCAGTTGGTGGTCAGTCCTACAGTCAGTCCTTGGCTTTGTTTGTACTGATGAAATGGGGTTTCCTCATCATCTCTTTCCAAAAGTGTAATCAATTTGATTCCTGTATAGTTCATCTTGTGAGGTTCAGCTATAGAGTTGCTGTCTATATCTGTATCAAGATATAGCTACACTCATCCAATACATGCAATGCTTCTTTTCACAGTGGTGTACGACTGTGACATGGCCATGGAAACTGAAACTATGGAGATGGTCTTAGGGACCCCTTGTAGCACAGTGCTTACAAATTGAGCAGGAACCGCAAGGGCAGCAGTTATAGAAACCAACCACGAGCCTCTCCGCAAGAGAAAGGGAGGGCTTCCTACTCCGGTACAGACAGCCTTAGTTTCTAAGACTCTCAGAGAATCACAGGGCTGTTCTACCACAGTCTATAGGGTCACTGTGAGTTGTCATTGACTCAATGACCATGATTTTGGTTTAGGCCTTGGTCTTAAGAATTTATTATTAAATAAAACAAGGCAATAGTAAAAATTATAATTGTTCCATGAGCTTTAAAACTTTGTCAAAACATTAAAAATGTTTCTGTATAAATAAGTAAACAAAAATAACAAACACTAATATCGATTCATTTAGTATGCTTTGAGTCAGGGTCAACTTAATGGCAGTGGTTTTTATCTTGTTTTCTGACCTCACAGGAGCGCAGAGGAGAGACAGCTGAAGCCTGCGAGTTGAGGGAACTAAGCTACACAGTGTTTTGCATATTATGTTGTCTTTCTCAACAAAGTCAGCTTTAAAAAGATAGAGCATATTGTGAATCGAAAGTTTAATTTCAATCCAAACCTTACCATTGATGTTCATTGAGTAGTGTGGTAGATTAATTTATATGATATGGCTCATTCAGCCACAGTCTTTATAATTCCTACTAAGTCATTAGGTGAGACCATGAAGATTGCTTACATTTTATCTTTTCCTGAAGATTTTATGAGAAC